GCGAATCAATGCGTTTTTGTAAGAAAAATATCCATATTCAAAACGTAATATTCACTTGAATCTAGCTTGCGCTCACTGTTGTAAACAGAAGCAGTTCCGGGGGAATGACATATGAGGATTTGCGCATGTGCCGCTCAGAAGTGACACTCGCGGAAGCGCAGGGGAGAGATCAAAACAAAACAACGGTCACGAATTAGAAGTACAAAACGAGGATTTGTAAAGAAGAGTGTCGGAGGATTTCGATATAAGCCAAGAGGAGACTGGTTTTCCTTTGCTAAAGTAAGGAAACTTTGCTTCCTTTGCTCCTGTTAACAAACGTTGGTTTTCACGAGACTCACCGGCACATGCGCAATGCCGACATCTTACGCCATCCTCCCGGAGCTGCTTCCGTGTACAACTGTTGGCGCAAGATGGATTAGAGTGATTATTACGTTTTGAATATGGATATTTTTCTTACAAAAACGCATCGATTCGATACAGAACGCCTTTGTTCACCCCCTGGAGTCATGTGAGGCACTTTTTATTATGGATGGATGCACTTTATTTGACTTCTTTTGGACTGATGAACTGCAATACCCGCTGACTGCCATTAAACAGCTTGGAAGATTAAAGTAAATTTTTAATATAACTCCCGATTGGATTCATCTGAAAGAAGGAAGTCAAATACGCCTTGGACGGCTTGAGGGTGAGTAAATATTGGGCTAATTTTCATTTTTGGGTGAACTATCCGTTTAACGTTTCTGACTGCCGTACCACGCCAGTTCCTGTAACAGCCCAGTAGAGCTTGTTCTCTCTGATGTCTATAGTTATGAACTCCACATGTTCCAGATTATGGGTGAAGAGGATGGCCGCGTTGGAGCCGTCCATATCTGCCGACGCCACCTTGGCAGGGATCCCGCTCTCTGTTCCCTGATCTGTCCAGTACATCTTTCTAAAACAAAGACAGAACATCACTAAACAGAATCGCATGTATGCAAAACATAGCATATAGGAAATACTGCTCTTTTGCATCTGCGTTTGTATACAAATACAGCAATTTCATGCTTCTACAAGTACATATATTCTAAGGACTGATCATGACTATGTGTGCTTTATGTTAACTGTTGTTTAGCATGCTTAGGCAGTTCAGTCCTGACAGATGGAATTAAATCGGCTGGAGCTTGTTGAATTTGGTGATCAGGGTTAATTCCAGACCTCTGCTTATCTGGACTTACCCACGTGCCGGATCCACCGCAATGCCAACGGGAGCTCCTGCACCAGTAGGTGAGCCGTTGTTAGTGATGAGAGTCTTTCTGTACTGAATTTCTCCTTTTAGCCTGAGAACCTGAAACAAATCAAATTGGGTTTGTCACAATAACAGTACCAGTGAAATTTCTTAATTATAAATACCACTTTCTATACAGCAGCAAAACTGGTATGCTGCACTAAAAATAGTAACATCTGGATTAACTGGTTTTATTCAAATAACATTTTTTATTTAGCATCACTGTTTTAACCCAGGTTTAATAAACTTTTTTATTAAAAAGTTAAGTATTTAAAATGTAAAAAAATTTAAAATAAAATAAAAGTATAAGGTTTAACAAATTTTAAAAAATCTAAATTATGTAAATATTTCCTCAGGTTGTTCAAGTAATAATTCAAATAAATAACAAAAAATAAGTAATGAACAAAGAAAAAAAGATTACAAATCAATAAAACAAAGAAAAACAATAAAAAGTTTTTCACCTAGTAGCAGTACCAAGTATTCAAGTAAATATTCAGAAATTGAAACCTAATGTACATGTCTAATTTTTTACATACAGTATATATTATATTATATATTGCATATATTATTTATATTTTAGTTCTGCCTGTTTACATTTACTCAAGACAAACTGACAGTGTTTGCAGTAATACCTCATCAAATATAGGTATTACATTTATTTATTTATGTACCGAAAAAATTATGATTTTCATTGAAAATGTCATTTTTAACATAGTTATTTTAGTATTACTTGTAACAAAATTATTTATAACAAACCCATATTGTGTTTTTATTGATTTATATATATATATACATATATATATATATATATATATATATATATATTTATTTTTTTGCAGTGTACTCTAAGTACACTTAAGTGGCCTTTTATTTCAGTAATGTTTTATGCATTATCTGCAAGTTTGTTTTTTAAAATATACTTCTAAGATTTGAAATACACCACAAGTGCTCATTCAATACAATTAAGCACACACATATTTTTCACGATGGATAGCAGAGATTCCCAGAATTAGGTCTCATCCCAATGCATTTAGTCGTGCAGATATGAGGGACTGGTGAAAAATGCCCTGTAGTGTAAACATCACTGTGTCAGCACAGTTGATTGCAATAAACAGCCCATTCAATCACCATTTGTCTGGATTAATTGTTAAACTCTCATGGAAGAATGCACTCGACAGCGCTAACAAAAGCTGAAACCTGAGCGAGGTTGAGAGTTTGCACTAAGAGAATGTTAAGGGCTTCTTAAGACTAAAGGCCTCTTGCATGCTTTCATCCGTTACCGCCAGCTAAGCTGAGGGCTTTTATAATAGTAAATGTTTGCCTCTGCAAAGAAGCTTACTAAGTAAATTGAAAATGGGTTGTTGTTGAAAAGTTTTCATTCCCCTGAAATCTATATCCAATTTTAACAGAAGACTGCTTCATTCATTCACTGTGAAGCAGATTAAGTGGACAGAGGTCAGCGTTAAAGACATAAACACATGCATTATTCATTAAAAACAGCCACAAGCAGGAATAAACTGTTAAACTCATTGCACTAATTTATCTTGTCCATTGCGTATTCATTAAAGTCCTTTTAGATAGAGCAGTTAGCATCAACCTCTTTCCCTCAACAAAAATCCAATAGGATTTTCCCATTGGCTTTTGGCCAATAACCAACAAAAGTCTATGATTCTTACACTTTTTGTTCATTAAGAAAATCTTCACAAATGAACACAACTTTTTATGAATTTTGAAGCCTACATACAAACAACCAGAAGCAAAAAGCTAAAGTTACACTATAAATGAGCTACATCTTGGTCACATGACTACATTGTCACCACCATTGAGTTTACTGACATCTCTTTCAAACTCTATTTAAAAGTTGGAAAGGGTGTAAAAATTAGTATTTTGATGTGATGCTATTTAATGCCCTTAATAACCTCTGTAGTCCCATTTAGCCACTTGTTAGCAATTGCCTTATTCAAGATACATAAAAGCTTAAAAAAATCACAAGTGGGGTATTTCTGATTTATTTTATGCTGTAGAATAAAATGTGAACATATCTTGAGCTTGTTTTAAGCACAGACCATATTTCAAGCATTTAATCAAAAATCCATTAAAAAAAACCTATTGACTTTGGGACGATAGAAATGAAACAAAAAACAAAATTTTTTGCATATTTGTCACACTGAAAAGATTCAGATCATCAAACAAATTTCAATATTACACAAAGATAATGCAAGTAAATACAAAATGCAATTTTTAAATGATGATTTCTTTCAGGGGCAATTCATTTTTCACGTAGGGCCATGTAGGTTTGGACAGCTTTGATGATCTGAATCTTTTAAGTGTGACAAATATGCAAAAAATTAAAAAAAACTTTTCACACCACTGTAGACCAAAACCACTTTTTGTACCAGGCTGTAAACATTTTTTTCTGCTGTAAAGTTGGGCATTTTAACATGGGGAGTCTATGGGACTGACTCCCTTTTGGAGCCAGCTTATTTATGATGCACTGAAAAAACAGATAAAAAACAGATACATCGGTCGATGTATCTCGTACCTCTAGCACATGTGAACTGGTCAGTGGCAAGAGTCCATCCAGACGGACAGGCACAGGAGTAGAACCTGGGGCCGATCGCTGACAGGAGGCAGATATGAGTGCAGGGGCTCGAACGGGGGTCACAGGGGTTATAACCTGCAGGAAAAACACATTGAAGCTTTGAAGTCAACACGAAGGACTATATTTCATTTTTATAACATGTTTATGGTTTTATGCAGTACAGTTTACTGGTGCATGTTATTCTAAAGGATGTTATTCTTAGATCGACATACAAAAAGGTAAAATATTATGCTTATATTGTAATCATTATGAACACAAGCAGTATATTCTGATAATGTTCTTTACGTGTGTTTTACTGTTAGTCAACACTAGGGTTGTGACAGTGAGGAAATTTTCCCACCGGTTAATCGACGTGTGACAACACCGGTAATACCGGTATCACCGCGGGGGCGTTCCCTCTTTTCCTCGCTTTCCTTCGCTTTTAAACAACTTTCGCTTTCAAATAGCGGCAATTTGGCATAAAGCAATTGTTCGTTTTTAGTCAGTTTGAATTTCCTCTCTTTTCCTCGCTTTCAAATAGCTTAAAAGCACTGTGCGCATTTTACTTTCACTTTCGAATTTAAAATAATAAAATATTTCAAATAACATTTTAAAAATGTAAGCGTTAATAATCAAAATAAATAAATAAATAAATAAAGTCTTCGATACTAAGAAATAACACAAATGAAAGTATGAGAGTTATGAAGTGACCAAAATGTTAAACAACACACTTGATGCTTTTCATTCACTATCCAATCAAATTCATTCAATCTAATAAAAAATTAAACAAATAAAAAAATGAATACAATTTTATTTTTGCAATGAAATTCATTAGAATGCACAATTTCTATTTGCATACAAAACTCCAATTCCAATCATTCAAGCATAATTCTTTAAATCAAAAGGCTTTCACAATGATGAGAAACATAATTCAGTCAAGTGTGTCCAACTTTTGACTGGCAGTCAGTGTTTTGTGCTTCATATTTGGATCGCAATATGTGATTATAATTTAAAGTACACCGTTATCTCAAAACATATCAAATAACCCTGACAGGACTAGAAATGAATCCAAATATGCATCAGCTCTCAGTTATAAAACTATGCAAGACATATCTGACATGGCCAAATAGAAGGTTAAAAAAAGAGTCCCGTTGAAAAGCAACATTCAGAAAGAAGATGAGGTATATCGGATGACAGCATTTTTCAACAGCTTATCTCGACGGAATGGGCTCTTGTCAGTGGCAGAGCTCATAAACAACCCTTTGTTTGGTGATTACCACCTAATTACCCCCATAAGAAAGTTTGTGACTGACATTATGTTATTTGTCTTATCTGTGGTAATACGAGAGGCTACACTAGACCCCGCTGAGTAGGTCCAGTTGGCCTCCAGAGTCCGACCGTGGCTCCACTCCACTAATATCTGTCTTAGCACTGTCAGAGATCACAAAGCTCAGAGGAGACGCACAAACCTGAGGCCTTGCAGGTGCGTCCGTCTGCCTCTAGAGTGTATCCATCCTGACAATGGCAGCGGAAGGAGCCTCTCTCGTTGAAGCAGTGCTGACTGCAGACGCCCGGAGGATGGCATTCATCGATGTCCTCACACGTCTTTGAGTCGTTACTCAGCTGGAAGCCCATAGGACACGTGCACTGGGCTCCAAACGGGCCCTGAATGCAGCCGTGAGTGCAGCCCGCATTGTTATCCGAGCAGCTCTCCTGATCTATGAGGAAGCAGAAAAGTTCAGATGAATGACAATGTGAAGAAAAAGCATGCATGAAGACACAAGTTATTCTGCGAACATGCTGAGCACAACCATTAAAGGGGATGCTTATTAGGGCTGAGCAATATATAAAAAATCTGTATATTTCTATATTTACTATAAAAATGCATAGAAAGTTTTTCTTTTCTTTTCATTCAAATGAACACTTTTTGTGACCAAAGAGCCATTTTAATACATTTAAAAAGTTTGATGCAAGACAGGGTTATTATATTTAACTAAAACCATAAAATTAAAATGAAAACGTAAATTATAAAAATAAAATAATTTAAACTATTAGTAAAAACTATAATAGTATCTCAATGATGCTACAATTACACTGATGCAAAAAGTAAAAAACAGTAAAAAATTATAGTTAAAAATAACCAAGGGAAGTTTTTCACTAAAATCATTCACACTATTAATAAAAACTATAATAGTATCTCACCGATGCTACAATAACACTGATGAAAAAAGTAAAATTATAGTTAAAAATGACCAAAAACAGCAATATTTATCTACATATAGTTATATTAAAATATTTTAATATACAAAAGAATGCCACATGGACACAATAATCAGTGAATCGGTTCGTCTGTTAGAAAAGTAATCAAAATTACAAACTCAAAAGTAATTTTTGTTACTAAAGTTAAAATAAGAGTTGCAAAACAAAAAGGATTTGCAAAACTAATTGAATGACACTGTCTTTTAAGGAAATGTAATGTTCAAAACTTTTTAAATTTTTAATTCAAATAAACCATTTTGTGACCTAACAGCCATTTGTGCCAATTAAATTCAAAATGCATAATGCAAGTAAAATACAGTAAAAATAATAAGTTAAAAGTAAGGCATATTTTCCACAGTTCTTCACTAAATGAACAATGAATGAAGAATAATATTAAAAAAATTGTTAACATATTTTCATGCACCATCTACATTAATTTATATTAAAGCATTTTAATATAGAAAAATGCCACATGAACAGTTCTGTGAACATTACAGATGATGCAAACTAATCAGTTGCTATGTTTACATGCACAATTTTTGGTTCAATCGTGCTGAATTCATTCCGATTGATGAATCTGAATGTAGTGTTTACATGAACGTTCGGGTTGATGTGTGCGTTTATGTCACAAGCTTCAAATCGGAATTTGATTTGAATGAGGTTGTCCTGCTCCAGGGTGATTTGGGAGGTTGTCCTGCTCCACTTCACAGTTGCCGAGTGAAAGGAGAGTTTTATAATGACAGGACACGCATTTATACAACACTTTATTCAACAGGAAGAACCGCTCGTTCGGCGCGTCATACGCTATTTCTGCATCATTGCACATGTGCAGTCCTTTCAGTTTCGGGAGTGTTTACATGTACTCTCAGTCGTATTAGAAACGGAATAAATCACCCCCTTCAATCCGATCGAGCTCAATCAGATCGATTAAAGTGTTTACATGAAGGCTTTTCAGTTCGATTGAGCCGTCAATCCGATTACAAACGGATTATTTGGTCGGGTTATGTAAACGTAGCCACTGAATCGGTTTGGCTGTTGGAAAATAAGTCAAACTAACCTACTCTAATGTCGTTTTTGCTACTAAAGTTTAAATAAACAAAAAAGGATTGGCAAACCCAATCTAATGTCACTGTCCTCAAGAAAACTCAATGTCCCAAAAAGTGCATTAAAATCATCATAATATTCATGATGTTGCTTAATTTCCAAAATCATTATGAATATATTGTGAATATTCAATATATTGCCCAGCCCTAATGTTTACTGTTAAAATCTAAGCTACTTTGGTGGTTGTGTACCATTTCTATGGACTAACACTAGTGGTCGACCGATATTGGTTTTTTTGACATCCGATGCAGATGCTGATATCTTGCAAAGCAGGCTGGCCGATGGCCGATATAATTTTATTTATTTTAATTGATGTTTAAGAAATTTGAAATCATTTGAAAATGGATTAAAAAGTAAATGTTAAATAAGCATACTTATACTTTAGATGACAAAGTATTTTTCACAAATAAATAAATATTTAATAAAAAATATAATAAAAAAGGAAGTAAACCCTGTAACCAACAGGGCACTCAGTATTCTGGGAAGTTTGTGTGCATTGGGATTTGGGAATCATATTTTTTCAAATAAAGGCAAGGTAACACTCATTTTACATACAGCACACAGTGGAAATTACATGAATATGGCTGAGGGCAAATGCATAAAGCACAGCATAATTTGAAATCATGAGTTTAAAGTTTGTCGATCGCACGTCTCCTGTGAAGCTGAACTCTCCACCTGTCCATTCCATTCGCACGGACCGACCGTCACACAGAGAGATGCCGCTGTCAGCGCCGTCAAAATAAACATATGTTGCACCATCAAAATAAAAGTCCCGCCTCGAACACATCGGCCAAACAGGAAAACTTATCAGCCGATGCCGATATTTAAAAAAAATGGCAAATATCGGCCGATATAGCAGCCTTGGCGATATATCGGTCGACCACTAACTAACACATGTAATTTTTTTCAAAAACAGTACTACAAACTACATCTCTAAGTGTCTATAATGCTAAACACACACAATCCTGCCATATTTAGACACTCTGGACGGTTAGTGAGTACAGCCAGACAGATACTGGGATAGATTAGTGCTTCATGCAGAGGATTGTGGGTGATTAGGGATTTAGCCTACCTGGTAAGGGCTCATCTGTGAGAGGGGAGAGCAACATGGAAGGAAAATCACAGATCATTGCAATGTTAATTTCCAGATTAGCTAAACACATGCATGATTTGATGACACATGGGATTTATAACACAGACGACAAACTGAAATATTCCATGTATTGAAATCAACCGACTGACCACATGGATTGTCATTTAATGGTTTCAATATCAACAGAAATATAAAAGATTTTAATGCAAACGAATGTTCTGACTTAAGGCTGATGATACACGGGGCAACATTTTGAGCAATGTTGCTGGGCAACATTGGTGAGACACAGGGCCCCGACCGATCTAAAGTATCCAGATAGAAATTTGTTACCCATTCTCAATGGGAAAGTGCCCAAGAAACATTGCTCAAAAAAAGTTGTCCTGCAAAATTGCTCAAAAAGTTGCCCCGTGTATCATCAGCCTTAACGCAAGATAAGCTCCAACAACAGTTTGTGACATGAATGTGGGTAACCAAACAGTTGCTGGACCCCATTGATTTCCATAGTATGGACAAAAATTTAAAAATAAAAAAAGTTAATGGGCACCATAAACGGTTGGGTTACCCACATTCTTCAAAATGTCTTCTTTTACGTTCAACAGAAGAAAGTAACTCATACAGGTTTGAAACAACTTGAGGGTGAGTAAATGATGACAAGGCTGATGATACACGGGGCAACATTTTGAGCAATGTTGCTGGGCAACTTTGGCTAATGTTGCCATCAACGGGCAACCAGGTGAGACACAGGGCCCCGACCGATCTAAAGTATCCAGATAGAAATTTGTTACCCATTCTCAATGGGAAAGTGCCCAAGAAACATTGCTCAAAAAAAGTTGTCCTGCAAAATTGCTCAAAAAGTTGCCCCGTGTATCATCAGCCTTAACGCAAGATAAGCTCCAACAACAGTTTGTGACATGAATGTGGGTAACCAAACAGTTGCTGGACCCCATTGATTTCCATAGTATGGACAAAAATTTAAAAATAAAAAAAGTTAATGGGCACCATAAACGGTTGGGTTACCCACATTCTTCAAAATGTCTTCTTTTACGTTCAACAGAAGAAAGTAACTCATACAGGTTTGAAACAACTTGAGGGTGAGTAAATGATGACAGAGTTTTCATTTTTGGGTGAACTATCCCTTTAAGAATGTTTACCCATATAGGCAGCTCATTAAGTTTAAGAACAAAGCCAAGATTTTCATTAGGGAGCTAATAGATAAAGGCTAACCATCAACTTCTAATCTTAACAAAAACTAGTCAATATCTTATATGCTTTATTTATAAAGTTTATACACCATTCAAATACCATTAAAAATTTATACTTTTATTCTGCAAGGATAGATTTAATTGATCAAAAGCAACAGTAAAGACACTTATAATGTTACCAAAGATTTCTATTTCAAATAAAAGTTGTTTTATTTGAAATAGACAAAAATATTAAGCAGCACAACTGTTTTTAACACTGATAATAATAAGAAATGTTTCTTGAGCAGCAAAACAGCATATTAGAATGATTTCTGAAGAATCATGTGACACTGAAGACTGGCGTAATGATGCTGAAAATTCAGCTTTGATCACAGAAATAAATTACATTTTAAAAGATATTCAAATAGAAAACAGTTGTTTGAAATTGTAAAAAAAATTCACAATATTACTGTATTTTTGATCAAATAAATGCAGCCTTGGTGTGCAAAAGAGACTAAAATCAAAATCATTAAAAAATAACACCGACCCCAAAAGTTTTGCAGAATGGTGTATATGTATTACGTACTGCTGTAAATCTCAGTAAAACATATGGCATGACTTACTGCAGAGAGGGGATTCATCGGCGCCGTTGGGACAGTCTGGCGTGTTGTCGCACACCCTGCTGAGGTTAACACACACACTGTGTCCAGGGCACTGCCACTGCCAGCTGGGACAGCGGAACGGCGGCGTGGGACAGTCTCGCTCATCGCTGCCATCCCGACAGTCATTATCACCGTCACAAATCCAGCCACGGAAAACACAGTTCCCATTATCACAGCGGAACTGCGAGGTGGGGCACGTCCGCGGTGGACACGCGTGGTGTTCGTCTGAGCCATCTTCACAGTCTGGGTGCCCGTCACATTCCCAGTTCACAGGAACACAACTGCCGTCTGACTGGCACTGAAACTCACTCTCGTGGTGACACATGCCGGGCGGCCTAGTGGCTGGAAGGGTCGAAGGTCATGCTAGCTTAATATAAGATACATCATAATACAAGTTTCCTGAGGTTTATAATAAATGAGGATGAATCAAGAACATGTCTAAGTCATGTTTCACCCCAAAATCAAAATAATAATAATTTTTTTTTTATAATGATCAAATTGAATTATATAAAACATTTTTGTAGGATCTTTAGATTTTATATTTTTCAAATGTATTTTCATAATTATTTTGTTCACCTTGCGCCCTAATTTTAATTACTGTAATGCAAAACATTTCACATTCTTAGTACTGTAGTGTAAATAAATGCAATAAGAATTATAGTCTTATTTTAAAATAATGCATTTATGAAGTATTTGTTGTACCACCTTTATTGTTTATTGTTTTTTTAAAATCATTGTTACAGTACTTGTTTTATACAGTTTTAAACAATTATAACAATGTAAATTTTATATGAATCACCATTGAGAATAATGGGGATTACACAACTATGTTTATAAAATTTAAAATATATATAATTATAAAAAAATAAACATCCAAAATAATGTCAAAATGCAAAATAATAATAATTAGTATTTTCTTAAAATATGCAGCCTTTTCCCTCCATTTATCATTTTTATCTTTAGATTGTAGGGTGAACAGTGACCTGGAAATGTTTTTGTGAGATACACCCATTTACATACTGTATATGTAATGCAATTTCCTAAACAATTATCATGGTATTATTGAAGATGATCAGAACTGAAAGACAAATTGAAGATTTATTTGTTTATACTTACGACAACCAGATTCATCGGAGCGATCGTTACAGTCAAACACCCCGTCACATCGGTAGTAGGAGTTCACACACTGATGCCCATTTGCACACTTAAACTCATATGCTGTGCAGTTGTACACTGATGATCAGAAGAACAAGAATCACAAGAACAACAAGTCAACAACAAAAAATCAGTTTGATCTGATTTGAACTTCCATAAGAGATTTTTTTATACCGTTTATATTGTGAAAGACACATTTTTATCTTTATGTTGAAAAACTTTATGACGAATTTAAATGGTATTACCAAATTTTTTATATATAAACCATTTTTATATAAACAATATGTACCGTTATGATGAAATGCAACGAAAGAGTTTGGTCCTGCATATAATGGACTCTTACCACAGCGCTGTTCATCCGCTCCGTCTGCACAATCTCTGTCTCCATCACACACGTAATTGGGGTCAATGCAGCGATGGTCCGGACACTGGAACTGATCAGGGTGGCATGTGCCAATAGAATCTAGAAAAAGAGACATCACAAGAAAAGTTCGATGCTCAGAAGATTAATGATACTTAATGGCATTCTCAGTTATGTTTCATTCAGCTGTTTCACAAGAATATAAAGTTGAACAGCACAGAGCTCAGATCATTTGGTTAGAACAGAATTTCTGTTGAGAAATTGTTTTACATCATTCTGAGACCTCTGACTATTTTAAATAAATGTAAAACATGCAGTCACAGGTGTCTGTTTAATGCCATTTATATTGCCTATATTGTGTATTATTTACATATTTGAAAATTCTCAATGAATTTATAGACACTTCGATCAACAGTGCCCAAGGTGTTCATTTAGTATCACTGATATACTATTATAGTTTTTGATAATACTTTAACTGTATTTTTATATTTTCTGTTTTCAGTTTAATTTCAAAGTTTTAATAGTTTTGTTTTGTTTTTGTCATTTTTATTAGTTTTAAAAAAATATATATATGTCTATGGGTCAAAGACATCAAGATGTCCGCATCAAAAGAAATGTACAAAAGTGATTTTATGTCCATAGAAAGCACATTAAATGCAAGTAAAGTGTCTACTTTAAGGTTTCAAATAAGTTTTTGGAAAATAAAATGTCCAAGGTTTTTGGTTTGGTTGAAATAATGGTACATTGTCATTCAGTGTAACACAATATTTATGTAAAAATTCAAACAACATGAAATATATAAAAAAATAAGGGAGCATATTAAATTTGATTGTGTTTTAAATGAGTAAAAAAAATCTGACTGACAAATGGGCAAAACTTAGGATAGTGGCACATTTTAAAAATGTAAAATTACAACTAATTAGTATTTGGGATGAAAGTAATTAGTCTTTTCATATGTTATACATTTATTTTTGTTGTAAATATGCCTGACAAGATTGTTACACTGAATGACATTTTAGTGGGTCTCTTCTGTAAATCAGGGAAAAATGTATGATATTTATTTTTTGCTCAGGAAAACAAAAACAAAATTGCAATTACATTAGAATTTTTTTTGGGGGGGGGGGGGACAACAACAATTTAAAGCAGTATTACACTTATTGTTTTTATGCTTAAACCCTTTTTCATCTTTGACCCCTATATATTTCAATGATACTAATATTTTATTTTATATATAATTTTTTTTATTCATTTTAGTTCATTTCGTTTTAGTTATATTAGTACTTCAATTTATGAAGCTAAGCGAAAATAAGAAAAGTTGCCTTTGCAACAAGCAGAAATAAAGTAAGCTTCATTTTTTCAATTTAATTTGATTTCAGATCAAGTTTATTCTATGTCAAGTAATGAAAATGTTTTTTTTTATGGTTATGGTTTCAGCTAACTATAATATCCCTGGGTCTCACCGCAGTTGTTTTCATCGGATCCGTCTCCGCAGTCATTGTCGGTGTCACAGAGCCATGTGCGGGGGATGCAGTGATGGTTGGCGCAGCTGAACTGGTCAGCCTGGCAAGTGCCGGGGGTCTGGGTGGGACACTCCCTCTCGTCACTGCCATCAAAACAGTCATTGTGTCCGTCGCAGTGCCAGCTTCTGGGCACACAGCGCTGATTGGCACAGGTGAAGGCAATGGGCGAGCATGTGTTATCTGTGAGCCAGCAGAGTGAGGAAAAAATTAACACATTTTATTTTCATAAACGTGAAAATAAATCACTCTTCAAGTGATAAAACCTTTAAAAATCTCATAAAAACATCAAAAATCTCATAGAAATGCCTGCATTCTTTTAACTCAATGAGTAGAGCATGGTGCTAGCAACGCCAAGATCATGGGTTTCGATTCTCTGAGAATGCATGACGCAATGTAACTGCATGATGTGAATGTAATTTGCTTTGGTTGAATTTATATTTATTGTCATCTTAGCTTCTCTAGTTTTAAGACATGTATGAAGTGTTTTGGTAGTTTTAGTGCAAAACACTTCATACACTACTCCTAAATGTAATGTAGAACTACAACGATGTGTATTGTGAAATATTGTGTATTCCAAATAAACATGAATTGAACTTAATTGAATTATGGATGTTAAATTTACTGCTGTGCCAAGCTGAAAGTTGGTAAGAGGAACTGTGTGACGAGCTTTGGAAAAGTAACCTAATCAATGAAAACTGTGTCCTAGCGATTGCTCATTGCTTATCAACACATGAATATTTGAATGAAATATAAATATAAAACGTTACTATTAGTGCCACAGTTGGCCTCATCGCTGTTGTCATGACAGTCATCGACACCGTCACATTGGTAGCTCTGGGGGACACACTTCCCATTAGTGCATGAGAAGGAGTTGGAGCCACACTGGAGGGTCGGCGGCTCATTGGATGGATCATCCACACACGTCTGCTGATTCGCTTCCAGCTTCATTCCATATGGACAGCCACACACTCGCTGGGAGTACGGCGCTGGGAAACAGAAATGACTGCAGTCTCCATTTGGGTTTGTTTGCCTGTTGCAGAAGTTAGATCCTGTTGGGGGTAAAAAGCAATGCACATTGATCATTCAACTCTATTGCAACCACATTTGATTCATTTGATGCATTTGGATAAATAGCCCTAATACCTTTGTGGAGACATTACATTCAATGCCAAATTGAGTAAATTAATCAATAGAAAGTGAGCCTCACCAATCTGCGAATCAGCATTGAAGGATTTGACATGCATGATGTGGCTGATCCCTCGACGAATGATCATCATCTCCCCTCCGTCTGTTTTACGGACCCGCACGATTCCACTCAGCCGCCAATCGGTGAAGTACACATAACCTGGACCAGCAAACTTCATTAATGTAATCAAACAGGCCATCTCTGAGAAATACCAGTCCATGAACTCTGACTTCTGCCCCTTTTATCTTTCAGCACCGAACAGACGAACTACACTGAAGTTTAAGAAAGCCATGTAGTGACCCTCATTTCACAGATACCAGACGTGACTATCCATCATCAAAGAAGAGGCCATCGAGACTAACATGATTAGGATGACATTGAAATGATGACAGACATTGATGAAGAGCAAAATTAACATTTCGTCAGTCAGTGGGTTTAAATTAGACTGCTTTCTAAAAGTCAGCCACATCTCAGTGTAGATAGATATACAGATACAACAGATACAGAATGATAGAACAATAGACAGACAGACAGGAAGAATGATACACTAGTAGATAGATATAACGATAGATAGATAGATAGATAGATAGATAGATAGATAGATAGATAGATAGATAGATAGATAGATAGATAGATAGATAGATAGATAGATAGATAGATAGATAGATAGATAGATAGATA